CATAATTACACGACAAGATGGACAAACAAAACAAGCAATTGTTGTACATCGTTTTCATGCAACATATGAATCAAGCAAAAACATAAGCAATTTCCCAGAACATTAAACAATTTATCATTTCAAAAGGAGAACACACGGAGAAGGGATACAATACGAATACATTCTATAGATAAATGAACGCAGTAGAGCAGTGAGAACTAACCAATCCACAACCTCATATGACACACAAGCACTAGGAAACAATTAGCAGCAAAATTCATGTGAGCAAAGCCCAATTTTTTCAAAGATCGCCACACAAATAATATATACACAAACTGTTGTACGGTTTGTACCTAACGAAAACCTATACAGTTAGGGGGGAGGGGCGGTGGCGGGGGGACTCCTTAATAGTAGGTTCAACTATCCGCTGATACGATCACTTGGGAAAGGCATTCATAAATGAGAAAAATTTGTCACAATCGCGGCGACATCACCGAAAACAATTTTTAAAAAACAACGGGTCGGGTGTTCGAAGTACGACTTAACTTAAGCATAATAATTCTGCTTGTTCTGCTTTTGCTCTGCTTTTTAATTGATAAATTGTCATTTGAAAAGATTTATTTATTATTCTTTTTTTCTTTTTTTTTTTTTTTTTTTTTTGTTAATCAGAGGGAGTAGATTAAGATATCTACTCCTTAAAATGTTGTGAGAAAATGTTTAAATTTATATTTCTACGAATATTTTCAGAAAAAAAAATCACATATGCAAAATATATTGATACTTAAAAATGACACTAGTTTGCGGACACTTGGCGCAACAAATGCTGCTGAAGAATTTTCCCATTACGACAGATATGCAAAAGAGATATTATATATATATATATATATATATATATATGTACATTATATATAATCTGCATCAATCTAGCGCAAAAGCTATCCATGCATGTCCTTATTTTAGACCTAAATCACTCTTAGATGCTTGATGCGGGGCTGCATAGCAACCACTAGCCAGGAGGGAAATCTCGAAAGGCAGTTGACAGTAACTCAAAGTCTTGTCTACTCCCGCAATTGCCTGCCCGTTCAACAAACTTGCGTACAATTACCACTGGATTTACTGGATGGGTCGAACTAACGTGCTTAAATTTTCTAGGCCTAAAACGCACTTAGTAATTAAAATGTTTTTGATGATCTCCAACTATATATAGTCTTGGAGGTAGAGGTTGAAAACTTAAGAAAAAAAAAACGAAGAAAAAAATCATACCCAATAGCGGTCGAATCCTTTATGCTTTTTATGCTTATCCTGAACGAAAGAGAATCCCAATATTAGAAGAGTCTGTCCGTCTTTCCCTTTTTGCACTACTACTATAGGATCGCCCGTAGAACATGCGTTGAAACTTTCATCGTTGCGTCTGTTGTCTGTTTACGAGTAATGAACAAAAATCCCAGAAAGCAAAGTGGCAAGCTTTCGTCAACTATTAAGCCGCACACAATATCACTTTTTGCGAGTGGAGGAATGTTTACACATCCCGGACGCACAAATTTGCTGATAAATAGGCAGATAGGCCTGATCGGCTTCAAAGCTTGCCAGTTATCAAGAATATATATATGTATTTCATAAAATCTGTGGATGTTCTTATTGCATGTTGCAAACGTCTCGACACAGTCAACATATTCCCATCCTCCGATAGTAGATTTAGTAGAGCATTGTAACTTTGGAATGGAAATGTTTTCTGTGAGTATTCGCATTCTCCAGATGAAAACGAATCTTAAATTTCTCTAACCATTTCTGCTGAACATTTCTATGCAAACGATTTCATGTACATGACAATCTATCCATGTTTTATGGGAAAGCGCCACTGCATGCTTATGTTATGCTTGATTTCGAATGTCTTTAGCGAAGTGAAATTATGCCACAAGCTTGTCACACAATCATCGATACGCTCTAGACGCACAACTCAGAAATTCTTATTTCTTAATAGTGAAAGTACATGTGATTGTGTACGAAAACGTACATCAATAAAACAGATTGACGCTAACTTCCATACAAACAATTCACAAACGACCTAAAGTTATAGTTCATTATGATAATTGTTTGATGTTTAGGAGTATTCTACAAAAGATAAGTAGCTTTGCTTTTGATATTTGCTTTTAGTTTTCTATTCCTCTTCTTTTCCTTTACCAGTCTAGGTAGACGTAATAGCTTCGTCTTCCCATTTGCAACGCATCAAAATGCTCATTGAGGTTCGCTTAACGCGCATTTATGCGCGAACTGAACAACGTGACGGCAACATCGAAAAATGCGTCCATTTTGTACGCCAATCCTGAAAGGTGCGGGAATTTAAAGTAAATACAGATAGGATCGGCAGATAGGAGTGAATAGCTTTACTAAAACTATGCCAAAAAAGAAATTACACGAAATTTTGTGTAGCGATGCATTTTGGGTAGGAGAAGTAGCGCATCAAATATTTCCTTTATAGGTAGACTAAGGCATGCTATAAAAATGGCTAAAGCAAACTATGCCATGATTGCAATGCATTCCATGCCGGAGTATTTCCCTTCTCCAAATGCTTTCAATTGACAGACAGACGTACACACAAACAGACCAGGTAGGTACATGTAGCTTACGCTGATCTAAAAACACACAAAAAGTATACAGGATTGAAAAGGTTCGATAAACTCTCTATGACACTGTAGTAGTTGCAAAGAGACTAATCTTTTAAAAGTTTTTACATCATACATCAATGCATCGACAGCTTTAGGCGACGAATGCTTTGCATGGGTGAGTATCTAAGATTCACCCTAAAGTGCCTATGATTTTCTTATTTGTTTTCGGACCATTCTTAGCGATATGCACTCCCAGCAGAGGTCATCCGTCAATTTGTCACAAAATATATGCGTGAATAAATTGTGTGGGCTCCCTTGTGTGCACACACCCCGCATAATTTTTATGTTGCATATTAAGAGAAAGAAAAAAAAAGTCTTTGAGTTGTGATTGTTCTGTTCGTTGTGTTAAGTTGTAGATCATGAGAGAATTTTTTGCTTTTACGATTTTGAACACAAGCAAATAAACCATAAACCTATATATATATATATATATATATATATATGTATGTAAAATGTAACCAAATGATCTTAAATTATGCTCTTATTTACGTAGCCATCTCATGCAACGTCATTACCGTACTTTATTCTTTTAAGGAAATTCCTTATTAAACCAGATCTAAATTGAACAGAAGCTATCGCGTTTTCTTGCTCCTATTGTTTTTTAATTCGTTCCGATAACTTTTTTTTATATTATATGCAGTTGTCATCAATTCATTGATAAATTTGCTCATGATATTATTCTAAAAAGACATAATCGTTTGCTGTTTATGTTTACACAAATGTCATGTGCGCTTGTTTGCATACACACAGCATACAAACATAATTATGAGGTCAAAGAACTGCTTTATGTTTATTTATTTTTTTACGTTCCATTTGCGTTAAGAAGAACTTACTTACTTACATCAGACACAAAAAATCCCATTAAAAAAATGTTGCTCTTATTCGTTATTTTTCATTTTTATTACAGAGTTTTGCTCTTCACAAGCACGACCAGTTTAAAAGAAAATCATGGAATAGGAATTTCCTTAATGACGATATTCGCTTTTCCAAATGATAGAAAGCAGGTAAGATAAGTCATCACATAGATTAATATGAGAACGATGGCGCACAGGTAGCTTCCTTGCTATCATCTTGAAAAGTTGTTACATTCATAAAATTTTCAGAAGCGAGTAAATTCAGCTAAATTCAGAAGACCCAATCCAAACTAAGTAAGATTGTAAGGGCTCTACTTTTGTCACGTCTAGAGGTTTACTTAGCATTTAGTTAGCTTGTCCGAGCAAATGCCTTCGAAAACCCAGAAAAAGCGAATATGAAGAATATATCTCTCTGGGTTTTTGCCATTCTCTATCAATATGATTTCCTCAATCTACGAGTAGTTATGTGCGCATTTCACGCCACATCATTTATTTTTTGCAATAGTACCCTTTAAAAAAATAATTACATACTAATAGGCGACTCCTCTTCATCACTTGGCAACATTAATAAGCTACTGATAAATAATCTGAATAACCAAAGCTTCCGAACGGAAGAGAAGCACTGAAAGCCATATAATATCGCCTGTTGTCCTCTACCGAAGAACAAAGTATTTTTATTCTACTTATTCGCTATGATTATCACTCGGCTTGTTTTATAGTCAAAACGCTATGATATCCAACAAGAAGACAGTTACACATTTATCCTTTGTTCATTTCTTTTCTATACCATATATGGCTGAGAAATTCACTAAAAAGTTGGATGTTGCACTAAGAAGCCACAAATACCATGGCTTGCCTTTTTCATAAGTCCCCAATTTTGGGAACATTTTCCATCATCCTTATAGCTCTTGTGTTTTCTTTAGGAAACTGTGGGTTACTGTGTGACGTATTTTGATGATTAAGATATATAAGCGTCTTCTCTATCTGCTGCCTTAACTTCAAAGTTTCGTTTCGCTTTCGTTTTCGACTGCTTGTTAGTGCAATCTTTTGTTATTTCGCTAAAGGATAAGTTAATTTAACCTGAAGTGGCCGGTCTGTCAACTAAATGTGTGTGTGTGTGTGTGTTTGCGTTGTTGAGAGGTACGTTTCATAAGTATACACGATTATCTTTTATATAAAAAAATACTTGAAAAATGAAGGGAAACATTTTAATATACATAGCTAAAGACTTCATTTATACAATGGTTGATGTATGTGTAAACAGTAGTTAATTTTTAAATTTATAATTTATTAGCAAATCGCGTAAAAACTTATATAAAACTTTTATAAATCACACAAAAATATAAAATATGATTGAGTCCAAGTTTTATGACATATATATATATATATATATTTATATATATATTTAATGTGTTTGCGTACATACATGTAGCCATGATGTTTACAAAATAAATCAATAAAAGAAAAAAGCATTAATAATAAATATCAAATAAAAACTTACCCACGGACATGGTTTTTACACAATTGTCGCCACCGGCTTCGTTCAGATGTTTAGTGTTTTGAAAGTCAAATAACGTGCTTCCTTAAATAGTAACCTCGAGTTGAACTTTTATATATATATATATATAAGAGAGGGACAACAATAGCAATAACAACATCGATCAAGAGTTAATGCTTGCAACAAATGAAATGTTTTTGTTGCTTCACTGTTGTATTATTATTATTATTATTATTTTGGCAGTGCACTTGTTATACCCACTATACACGCACATACACGCACTTAATAATATAAGTAACACTTCCCAAAAACAGTGAATATCCGCGGAAACGTAATAATGTGTGCTATACGTGTACACACAATGTGTTTTTGATAATGGGTGACCGCAGTTCGTATAGTTCTACGTGTATGGCAAAGATTCAACGATTAACAAAAAGTTAATTTTCTTTTGCGCAAAAACCCAAAACGATCCCCAAGACGGTCAAGCGGCAAAATGAAAATCTGAAAAAAAAAAGAAAGCAACACAAAATTAAATGATGTAACTATAATTTATTCTGAAATTAGCAAAGCATTGAAAGGACAATCACTTTATGCTATAAGATGTGCCGTAAAATATGATCGTATGATCGAGCGCAAGTGTGTGTGTGTTTGTCCGTGTATACACAAACTATAGAAATAATATAATAATGCAACGAAAGATTTGCGAAGAAAGGAGCATATGGGTGGAGTAAGTTGTAAACCCTTCAATGTGCTAACCAAACTTCAACATTAAATTAATAGTTTGATGGCTTGACTAGATGGCTGGTGGCTACAAGCACACAAAGGCACAAAGGCACACACCCAACCTTATATGTTCATATCATACATCGATTGCATATTTAATTTCAAATTTTCCATAATAACGGAAGCAAACAATTTTCTAATAGCAATTGAAAATAACAACACATGCATTCACACTCACACGCATACACATATACAGGCTCGCGTGCATATAACAAAATGTGAATGAGAATAAGACTATATTCAGCTATGTAGCTATAATCAAATAACAGCAATTATTGGTATTGTTATAACCGATGGCAGGCAGACAGGTGTATGGTAATGTTCGCTGTCGGTTATGTTGATTTCGTTGCAGTCGTTGCAGTCGTTGCAGTCGTTGCGTTGGTCAGTTACTATTATGTCTGCCTTCCATTTCTGAGTAAAGGTCACTAGGTGGGAGTTTAGTCTAACTTAACTTAAAAAGTACGAAAGCGTGCTATTCCTCTCTATTCCTTCCTTCTCTTACTTCTACTTACTTCTTCTACTTTAAATAAGGGGAGGCAAACAATAACGATAGCAGCAATTGTGTTGTTTTTAGCGGAAATAGTTTTGTTAACTAAGTTTAACTAAAATTGAAATTCTAATAATAGTTTTTCGTGCCTTTCCTTCCATTATTACCAACAAAAATAACTGTAAATTTCTACAATTTCCATTTTTAGTAATAAATTTTATATTCAATGTTTAATATGTTCAAGACAGAGCGATTAAAACGGTTTGCCGAGTTAAAGTCAACTTCCTGTGGGAAAAGCTGCCGGTGCGCTTGCATGTGTGTGTTTGTGTATTTTTGTAGGTGTCTTTTGCTATTGCTATTGTAATATCGATTCTATAGTTGTGCAGAACAAAAAAAAAATGTCTTCTTCAAGCCAAAAAGAGTTAATTTGCCACAAAATCGACCGAATGTTTCCTTAGATGTTACTCTAATGCTAATTAAAATTGTGTCAAGCACACACTTTGCCGGAAAGACAATGCAATCGGTAGCAAAAAGAAAAAAAAAAAACAAGCAATGATTGACAAGAAAACAAAAAAGGAAGTTTGCCACAACGGAGGTGAAGAAAAAAGTTGCATTAAATTTTTTGTGGCCAATTTTACTTATCATTTTACCATCAATGATTGATTGAATGATTGTATCAAGGAGAATACTGAAAGCTAAGATCAAGTGTTTATATAGCTTTCTTTAACAGGAGAAGCGTGAAATGTATCATTAGAGCAAGAAATGGTGGAACGCAGACATGGACAATCTGTCACTTACAGCGTAGAAAGATTCGAATTTCTCTGAATGCGTAGTGTCACACAATTCAAATGTGAAAATTTTCATGCGGTAATCTTTGCCTATTTTCGATAATGGGAATAAAAACTAATACACAGAACAATTCAGCTATGAGCTTAAGATATAAGTCCAAAATAGGTCCAAATGGTTATTGAGCGAATAAAATAAAGACTGTAAAGCAAGGTCATGTAACCAAACGCTCTTTCATGAAAAAACGGTGTCCGCCCTAAACGACGATAACCAACCTGGTAGGTTGTTCCAAAGGCGGGCGGTATGAATAGAAAGGGACGTGTCTCCGTAGAGTGTGGTGCGATCTTTAAGTAATTCCAGGACGAGTCGACGAGAACGTAGTCTTGTTAAAGGACTTAATTGGTGAACAAAGCTCTTTTATCTCGATAGTGTCCACCATACAACGGCGTATTTGTTGAAGTACTCCTTTACGCACTGAGTAACTAAAAAGCTTGACTCTACTATTAATACATAAACAGCCAGTTAGTCTTAAATGTTAGTTCTGCACTACACTTGAATATCTACCTAAAATTACTAATATTTTTGATGGCACTTGGAGAGCTCTGCGTTGGATTACAAAAGTAAAGAAACTCTTTTATCGGTAAAGTAATGAATGTTGCTTGTAATTAATTCAAGGAAAGAATTTAAGGATTTAGATGCACCTAATAGCGCTTCTAAAATTGCATGTGAGTGTTCTCTTTGTTTGAACACAACGCCCCATTTTATCAGGCATTGTAGCAATGCGTAACTTCCACTTCTTCACCCTTTCGAATGAAAAATTATAAATTTCACTGATTTGTGGACGCCTTTTACAATATTATGTACCTTATATGTATACGTCTTGAAAAGTCTATCAAAGTTCATAGGCCTGAGAAAGAGAGACGCGAATAAGCAAATAATGTATAAACCATTGAAATCGACAATGCATTCTTGATTGTGGAATTTTTCTAATGCGGGTAGAGTTATATCGCCCGATTATATTTATGTGCAGATGTTTGGCGAATACAAGAAAGAAATGTCAAATTTTCATTTTAACCACTTGCTGGCTGAAATGAATAAATCATAAATATTAACCAACCAAGTTGTTATGGACGCAGACGAGAAACCATATGCAAATGATTAGTTAAAGACAATTTTTCGTTTAAATCTCTTTTTTTCGCTATAAGAAAGTAACAGCGTAAAGAAATACATCGAAATGAATAACACTCGCAGACAATTTGCCTTCATTGTTATTATATTGTTGTTATTTTTTATTCATTTAAGTTAAATTCGTGATCATAATTTTATATGTTGCTTTGTTTCAGATGCAGACGTTAAATGAATTTTAAGATAATCTCTTAAAATGACGACATAATACAATAACATATTTTCAAAAATCTCCCCTTTCGTTGAAATGTCGAAAAAACCAAACGCAAAATATGAAAAAAAAACAAAAAAAAAAAAACAAAAAAACAGAAAATTTGTTTGTCTTCTTAATATTGCTTACAAGCGACGTTGCTTGAGTTTGTGTGTCCTGGTTCAAGAGGGGGGCAGAGGAAGGGGGAAAGCGAGTGTTTAAATATATCTCCCTGTATACGTATATATTTGTCAGGTTGTTCTAAAAGTGTTATCGTCACCGAAAGCTAATCCATTCATTTCAGTTCTTTCCCGCAAAAATCGGATTTGCGGAATTTGACCAGCCCACACGTTGAACGCATTGTTGAGAGCAAGCACCTAGCCACTAATTGAATGAATTTCCCAAATAGTGGAAAGGTAAAAAGATAAATACCTTAAGATAATTCTGGCAAATTTGATGATTTGATGAAAAGTAAGCTAAACTCGTAGCGAAAAATAAGAAGCGACTCAAATAATGGAAGAAATTGATGGCAATAATTTAATATCTTATGAGCGATCTGCATTAGTCTCTTGAAATCCACAGAAACTTTCCGCTCAGCCCAATAACTCCGCTCACACAACCCTCATAGAACTGAAACGTATGTGTAAAAGATAAATGTCACATATACGGGAGTATAACAGTATTACGTTTAAATGTTATTTAAGTTGATCGTTCGCTCGTCCGTTCATAGTGCATGCATGCCACACACACAATAATTATTGCGTATGTATTTGTATTGCTTGCAGTTACTCTACATACGAGCCACAAAAATGAACCGTAAATGTCGCATTTACCTAAATTAGAATATCCGGTAAACGAAATGAAAAACGTAGTAATCAAATACAAACCATAATGAAATAATGCGACGACGAACGACTTATATGCTAAATAAAACGGACTCGAGCTCGCGCACACATTTATGCAAAAAGAAATTTTATAATCAATGTTTTCTTAAAAAAAAAAAATAAATAAATAAATAAATAAATAAATAAAAATAAAATAAAAGTAAATAAATATAAAAAATAAAACCGTTCAACGGTAATAAGAATAGCAACTGAATGTCAACTTTATGCTTACATTTACTTTTGTTTCTCTACGCACACGCTGCACAATGGATTTTAGAATACTTGAAGCAAAGTATAAATTAAAAAAAAAAAACAAAAATGTTTTCTTTTCAATGTTAAAAACATTAAAAATAAATTAAATCAAAAGCAAAATTTTAAAAATAATTACGTGCGGCTGTGCGAGATTTTCGTGAAACACGCAAACACTTTAAACCGTACTGACTTTGACATACTTAAATACATACAAACGTATAACATTAAGCTGAGATTTAATTCTGCACCACATCTGTTGCGAATGCCGAGACACGAGTGCTTCTTTTACTTTTTAATTAGACTTATGGCAGTTTACTATATAGTATACTTTGCCGTAGACACCGAATTTCTGATCACACAACATCTGTGTGGAATGCTCGATCACATCAGTATGATAGAACAGTAGCAGTCATTATGCAGACATCCTTACTTGACGATCTGCCTCACATAAAGGTGTACCCGGCCTATTGGTGTCTTGTAATTTTTATCTCACTAATGGCTGAAAATAAAAATCGGATAGAAAACAAACGACCTGATAACATTTTATTGGCTTGTAGCAGATCACATGTACGGTGGTAGTATACACGACGTCTTCTATGGAAACGTAGGCTTTACTATCACTCTATTGAGGTAGAATAGATTCGTTTACATGCCTATACCGCACCAATTTCCCAATTTAAGTAGAAGTTTTAAATCCAGTTGAGAATCCACCCTCGTACTGTTGTTTCGAATCACAAAGTTTTAAATCGAATAAAATACAAATGAATCGCATATTTCCTCTGTATATGTCTTTCCCTTGATCACAACAACAATAAAGTGTTATTTTAATTATAATTAATTTACCGGAAGAAATAAGTTCTAAGGCTAAAGTCTTGAAGCGCTAGCATGCAAACACTGCCGGCTTTATTGAAAGCACTACCGCACTTGATATTTG